CTCGCGAGACATGGTGTGAGAAGTGGGATTCGTCCCGGAGGAGCGACGCAGCAAGTGAGCCGTCGACGTGGAGCATCCTGCAACGCCCGCCATGGCGGACGGAGACGCTGAGCCTACGCAGTTCTGCGCCGCCGGTATCCAGCCGCCTCCGAAGTTCAACTTTTCAAACCCCGGCGAGTGGAAGGAATGGGGTTTCCTGTTCGAAGACTCCTGCTACGCTTCTGAGCTCTACCAGGCGCCGGGCGAAGTGCAAGTCAGGACACTGCTGTACGCCATGGGCTCCCGTGAGGCTGGACGACTCCTGGACACAATGGCCTTGACAAGTGACGACTGGCGCTCTCTTCAAGCGGTGAAGACGAAGCTCACCGACCACTTCATCCACCCGGTCAACGAAGTTTACGAAAGCGTGCGCTTCCACCGTCGCGTCCAGGCTGAAGGCGAGTCAGTAGACGACTTTTACACTGCCCTAGTACGCTCGTCAAAAAGTGCAATTACGCCTCCGCGGAAGTCGAAGAACGCCTCATCCGCGATAGATTCGTCGTCGGTCTTCTGGACTCTAAGCTGGTAGACAAGTTATGTCGCACGCCAAGGCTCACGCTCGAAGATGCGAGACTTCAGGCCTGTATTCACGAAGACGCCGTGAAGGCCCATTCTGAAGTTTTTCAGAAGGAACCAAATCCTGGCAACGTGGTCTTCGAAGCAAAAGTCTGAAAACGTCTTCCGAAGTCACGACGGCGTTTCGACTTGGCGGGGGAAGGCGTAACGAGGACTTCCAAGCCTTGCTCAAGCGACGGACGCTGCAGGTTCTCTTGCCGCTCCGCCTGTCCGGCAAAAGAGGCAAGATTCAGGCGGTGCAAGAAAGTTGGACACTTCAAAACCGTCTACGAAAAAAAAAGCCACGGGCTCTGTCGAGCAGCACACGGTTGCGGCAGGCGCCCGTACCAGAGCCAAGTTCGCAACCGTGGCCGTCAATGGACACAACGTGAACTTCAAAGTGGACTTTTGAGCGGAGGTGACCGTGGTGTCGAATTCATTCCCTGGAGTACTGAAAAAGCTTCATTCACCAGAAGGTGAGCTCACGGGCACCGGAAACCACCCCCTGAAAGTACTGGGCACGTTCCCCGCAACGCTGCTATGGAGGGACAAGTCGACCGTGCAGGAAATTTACGTCATGCCATCTCAACACCCCCATCTTCTCGGCTTCCCAGCGATACAAGCGCTGGGAGTCATTCAGTTTGTCGACAATGTGGCGACACCAGCGGTGCTGCGGAGAGACAGGCTTTTCGACGGTCCGGGGGAGCTAAAGGAGAAGTACGTCATCCGGCTTCGACCTGGCGCCAAGCATTTCGCTTTAAGCTTGCCGAGGAGAGTCCCGATCCCGCTGCACGACGTCGTTCGTGGGGAGCTCCAGAAGCTAGAGTCTGAAGGAGTCGTCCGCAAGGTTGACCGCCCCACAGATTGGTGCGCGGGCATGGTCGTTGTTCCGAAGACAGGGGGAGGCTACCGCATCTGCGTAGACCTCACGCGCCTAAACAAAGTCGTACTGAGGGAGCGTCACATTTTACCTTCGGTTGAGAATATCCTCGGACGTCTCGGGCATGCAAAGGTTTTCTCGAAGCTGGACGCCACTGCAAGCTTCCACCTAAGTGAGACTTTCTGAAGAAAGTCAGGAGCTGACGACGTTCATTACCCCGATGGGAACGTTCTGTTTCCGCAGACTGCCTTTTGGCATCTGTTCAGCGCCAGATGAGTCGCATTTTAGAGGGACTAGACGGAGTTGTGAGCATGATCGACGACATTCTTGTCTTCGGCGCATCAAAAAGCGAGCACGATCGTCGACCCCAGCACGTCCTGCAAAGGCTCGATGAGGCAGGCGTCAAACTGAACAAGAAAACGTGCAGTTTCGCTGCCTCAAAAGTCAAGGTTCTCGGCGTGTTGGTCAGCGCGAAAGAAATCAGCTCGGACCCCGAAAAGATCGAGGCCCTGCAGAAGTTGCCGATACCCTCGGACGTCAGCGGGGTACGAAGACTGCTGGGAATGGCTAACGATGTGGGGCGCTTCATCCCACACCTCTAGGACGTTACGGCGCCAATCAGAGAACTGCTGCAACAGCACAAGTCGTGGTACTGGGGACCAAGCCAGCAAGCTGCCTTTGAGAAGCTAAAAAACATGCTTAGCTCTCATATCTGCTTGGCCAAGTAGGACCCGTCATACCCGACAGCAGTTTTAGCTGATGCAAGCACTTACGGACTCGGGGCCGTCATGCTTCAAGCTCAGCCCTCCGGCGAGAGACGGGCAGTGGCCTACATATCAAGGGCTCTCACGGCCACCGAAACTCGCTACAGCCATACCAAAAAAGAAGCCCTGGCCGTAACGTGGGCGGTCGAGCGCCTCGATCAGTTCTTGAGAGGCATCGACTTCTAAGTCGAAGCGGATCACCGCCCTCTCGTCACGCTCTTGGGATCTGCGGAGTTGAATCTAATGCCACCTCGAATTCAGCGACTACGTATCCGCCTCACGCGCTACCAATTCACCGTTCATTATGACCCCGGCAAACTTTTAGCTACGGTGGACACCCTGTCAAGGGCCGCGGTGCAGGAACTGGATCAGCACTGCCAATGTCCGGTGGACTCCATAGAACTCTTCGTCGGCGAAGTGGTTTCAGCAGCCGCTGATTTCGTGTCATCCCGTCTGGAAGCCCTACGAAAGCACAAAACGGAAGACGGCATCTGCTCCGGCTTGCAACGCTTCTGAGAAAAGGGGTGGCCAGAACATATGTCCAGAGTTCCTGTGCATCTACGAGAGTACTGGAAGGTACGTGGGAACATCACCGTGTGCGATGGTTTTGTACTCAAAGACCGCCGCATCTTTATTCCGAGCGAGATAATGCAGCTGATACATGAAGGCCATTAGGGCATCGGACGCTGCAAGGTAAGAGCAAGGGACGCAGTTTGGTGGCCTACTCTAAACAGCAAAATAGAGCAACTTGCGACAGCCTGCGAGCGGTGCGCCCAAAAAAGAGTACAGCGCTCCGAGCCACTCATCAACACACCGACTCCCAGTCGTCCGTGGCAGAGAGTCGGTGCGGATCTGTTCGAGCTCGAGGGGAGACACTACGTGCTTGTCGTGGACTATTACTCCCGCTTCCCAGAGGTCATCAGCTTGACGTCGACGACGTCAATGTCCGTCGTCGCAGCAGTCAAGATCACATTCGCCCGGTTTGGGATCCCCGACGTGCTGGTATCGGACAATGGGCCGCAGTTCTCTGCGAGAGTGTTCGCCGAGTTTGCCCAGAGCTACGGTTTTCACGACGTCACGAGCAACCCACGCTACCCACGGGCGAATGGGAAAGCGGAGCGTATGGTGCGGACCATGAAAGATTTCCTCTACAAGTCAAAGGACCCGCACATGGCCCTCCTGGTGTATGGATCGAGACACTCCTGGAGTGACCGGCTGCAGCCCGTCCCAACTTCTAATGGGCCGACGGTTGCAAACAAAGCAGAGACGTTGCAGCCGGGGTGGCCATCACGTCGGGACTTCAAAAGAAAAGACGGGGAGGCCCGAAGACGCCAGCGAAAGGACTTTAATCGCCGTCACGCCGTTCGTCAAATTCGCCCGCTGCCCGTAGGAGGGGACGTGTGGGCACAAGACGTGCGGTGCCGAGCAATAGTCCTCAGTCCAGCGAAGCGGCCGCGCGCTTACGTAATCGAGACCGGGACAGGAGTCCTGCAACGCAACCGCCGGCACCTGGTACCATTCGATACGTCTCCGGCGGACTCTGACGCTCCGGATCCCGGCGGATCGACCAATAAGACTACAACTCCATTCAGTCCGGCGGTCTCAACGGCAAGAACAAGTCCGGGTGCAGCGAGCCAACAACAGCCGACCGCAGAGCCTGCACCAACAGCAGCGCCGACGAACTTGACGAACTCCTCGTCAACATCAACGTCGACGGACACTTCCGCCAGCTCGCCTGCGCACTAACTGCATTTTGGAAACATAAAACGTTATTTTGTTTGTTACGTGGGATACTCGTCGCTACCACCTATAATGGGGCTTGTAAAAAACCGGCTTCTGTAGTTCTTCAGGGATCAGTGCTGGGGCAGCTATGCCACCCTTGGGACCGATGCAGGGTGCGCTGATCATGTAGGTGGCGCAGCAAGATGTATGCTTTAGTGTAATTGCATGTTACACTAAGGAATGAGGCATGCACTGTTGCGTTTGGGAGCTGACGATCTCAGGTGCGGAACCAAAAGCTGGGGCTGTGGCTCGCATCTAGCATGGCCTCGAGGAAACAGGGCTGGAGTGGGGCTACTGAAGCAGGACTTTTATGTACAGTGAACATACAGGTAGCATGGTCGACTGGTTAATCGGCGGTTTTCGACTTCGGGCTCCCTCAGCCCGCGTATATATAGCCCTCCGAGGGCGAGAAGACCCTCTGAGAGAGGAGCCTTCCACGGAGTTTGAGTGTTCACGTGGTGTTCGAAGTGCGGGGGCGGCTGATGCAATTTCCGGGTGTTCTTTCAGCAAGGGGCAGATGATGTAATAACTCGACGTTCGTGCCGCGCTCCGGTGGTTGATGTAAGGAGTCGTTGTTCTTGCTGAAACCCAACACCGACGGATCCACGCACACACACGCACACGTACGCCGGTGTTTTTCCTTCCGGGGGCCGGTGATCCCAGATGGTCTCGTGGCCTCCGGAAGACGTTCTTTTTGAGTTTCGAGCCCACAGCGAAGGCCGTTGCAACAGCACGAACTCCAGATCAAAACACATGACGTTGTTTGTTGGGCTGTGCGCCCCCCACTGGCTGCCTGTTTGAGCGATAAACGATTATTTCTCGAGGATCGAGGGGAAAAAAAAACTAAAAATTTTACTTCGTTTTTTTTTTTTTTTTTTAGAAGTGTCCTTTAAGTGTCCCGAGTGCATGCGCAAAAGTGCGACTTTCTTTGTTTTGAGCATTTATCATTTTATGGTTGATAGGGGGGGGGGGGGGTCCTTGTTCGTTGTGTTATCACCAGCACTGTGTATAAGTGTTAGATTTTTTTCTGTCGCTCGCTAGCTTAGTGGCATTGAGCTTCGTACATCGTACATCGAGTGGTTTGTTACCTTGAAGTGTAGTAGTCCACAGCATATAGTATAATCAAAGCAGACTTTATCTCCACGTACCATTATCAGACGATCAGAGGGGGCCAACTCAGGAATCGGGCCCCACTCCCGGCGTCCTCGGACGCATTGACTGCGTCAAGTCTATTCTCAGCCAACCTGAAGAGGATGGACATCCTTGGAGAGGGTGTGTATCCTTCTTCCCAGGTGCAGACCCAGCCGACGATTGGCCTGAATCTTGTCTGCACCGATCGAAGGCCCCCCGGTCCGCCACCGGCAGAGGTCATTACGGGGTGTTCCGCTAACAGATGTCGAGGCCGCAGTGCTGTCCCCCAACAGAGAGCTGAAACTTGTGCCCTCAGCCCTCAGCGAGAGAGTCTCAACCGAACGCCGACGCAGCAGCCATGTCTAGTTTGCGCCCCTCGCCAGAACTCGGAGCAGCCTGGAGGCGTTGGTCCCTCGCCAAGAGACGCGGCTGCCCTGTGGGATCCGCCCTCCCCTCGACGGCCCGCCCACCGCACGCGCCCCGAGGCGGCATCTGAGTTGCGGGATGCCAGTCGCCAGCTGCTCCTTGGTAAACGTCGTGGACTGCGCCCGCCTCGTCACGCGGACGCCCATGGTGAGAGACCCTCGGACGTTCTTTGCTAGGGTTGTGTGTTTGCCCACTTTATTTTGATTCAAATTCAGCGGTCTTTTACTGAGGTCTTTTTTCGCATAGATTCGTCGTTTTTGGGCAACGATTTTTGGTGTCGGATAGCATATCAATGTTTCTCGGCAGGGGATTTTCTAACCTCATGGCAACATAGCCGTGACCCTAATTGGTGGAAAACGTCTCGGTACAGACGAGGCTCGCTTAAAGGAGGCGTCTTCATTGCTGTCAGTAAACATCAGTCATGCTCCATTATAAATACAAACTCTGCCCTCCGAATCTTATGGCTGCTCTGTCATGCAGCAGCGCAAACAGTTCTACTAAGAATCTGTTACAGAGTGTCCCCCCCCCCCCCCTCCCCGCGGAATAGGAGTAGCGACTTCTCAATTAGGTCATGTAACATTATAAGTAAAATTACCGCAAAGCGCCCCAAAACGAACATTCTTCTCTTCGGAGATTTTTATTTTCCAGGTGTTGACTGAACGAATCCATCACCCCTAGCAGTAAGCAACGCCGAAAAAAGAGAGTTCCCTCGAGGTTTGCCTCAACTTTAATCTCACGCAGCTGGCATCGGAACCGACCCGCGTCGCATAGGGACCCGCTAACGTTCGAGACCTAATACTAACCAATGACCCTGACAGTCTCTCGTTCATTTTTTATTCGGAAAATCAGTTACCGTAAGGTTATTCATGATGACCTCGAGTTTTTCTTCTGTGGTGCGCCAGAGTTACGAGAGAACGATACGTTTGTACGAAATAGAAAGTTACAAGGCGATCAAGAATGAGCTGATCGCCTATTTTCATCTTTTTGAAGCGTCCTTCTATTCCCGATCTTTCCACGACAATAGGTCGATATTCAAATATAAAATAGCTTAATTTGTAACTAATTCGATTCTAAGACTCGACATTTGTGCCAGCAGCAATAAGCCGTGGTTTACGATAACTTTCAGAAGATTAGAAAATAAGAAAAGGCGTCTTTTTAGTGCTACTAAGCTGAATGAAAATACTTCCCTGCTGTAAAAAAGGCATCTGCATGAAAGTTAGCGGGTTCATACCGGTAACAGTTTAGCCGTACCGGTCACCCGTCTGTGCAAACGGGTCGCCCAATTGTTCAAACAAGGGACCAGTTTGCACAAGTGGGTGACCGGTGACCGGCAAAGTGCACCGGTTTAATCAAACAGCTTTCTCTTTGCGCGGTGAGTACGTTTGATACTGAAGTACAGAGCGGCGGCACGGGCGTGCCTGTTTCACCCGCACGCATTCTCTCGAGAGCTGTTTCGAATGTCAGTGCACACGTCATCAGAGTGAGCAGAGCAAAGACGAAGCAATCGCGACGCGGGAGACGACTGCGCCTCGATCTGGCCGACCACGCTCGCTCTGCTGAAATGGGAGCGTCTCGAGTACCGCAAGACGCCGCTTTGTCATCGCTAATGCTTTGCCTTGCTTTGCGCTGGAACGCCTGCGAAGTCGTTCCAGCATTCGGTGTACCCTAGGCAGCACCTTTCAGCAACCGTTCCCGCAGCATCGCTAACTTCCTTCTGTAAGCTTCGGCGGTGAATCGTCGTGGGGCTTCATGTTCGTGGCGCCGGCGTCGAGAACGAGGAAATATACATTAAAAGCGCTATTCAACAACAAACACAAATATCTAATTACTTCATCGGGAAGTGCGCGCTACCTGGGGACGTCCTGATAGCTCACCATTCAGTGAATCTCACAAATGAAGCGCTGTTGCAGATCTTTCTTCGTTTATTTTGAGAAATTCAAGTCGTTTGACCCACCATGTGTTGTCATCGTGGTGCGCAGGTTGTTTATTGATGACAGGAATGAAAACTGAACTTACGAATGATAAAAATTATTGCCCAGAAATAAGCTGCGCCGTAGATTTCGCAGCTCGCTAATAAAAAATAAAAAAAATTGCAGGGGCCCTATACATATATGCAAAGCTATACCATTTCTGAAACTATGTGATCTGAAATGCCACATAAATTCAAAGATTTACAAGACTGAAGTTAAAGAACGTGAATATAACAGTGTACTTATAATTTTTATTTCCATCAAAAATATATACTGTAAACGACTTATTTTCGCGAATCGCTTACGGTTCACGAAAAATAGGCCCACCAAACAATTCCGGTAATATGTAAACAAATTGAAATCTATGTTGAGATCCAACCGCGTCGCCAAAATTAGAAACCGCGAATCATTCAAAAGCTTCAGCTTTGACCGAAATTGCGAAATATTTAGTCGCGAAAAATAAGTCGTTTAAAGTATATCTTTTTGTGGAGATCATGCACAGAAAGAAGACGCGGTTAATTCTGCTTTTCAGTTTAGAAGTTTGGTTATACGGCGTAAAACGTATGATATTAATACTTCTCGTTTTGGGCTCACTATTGGGCTGGGCAGTTTCTTTGGAACTCCGAAAAGTAACTTTCATGCAGTAGTTTTGTTCATTCGGCATCGACAGCAGAGTGAACTCTATGCGTGTTTGAGACCAATTGTGCCTAAGGTTAGGGGCACGTGACTACAGTTTCCAAGCGGGTGATAAGGCAGAGCACGGCACCTGCCTGAAGGTCAGTGCTTAGTAGGCCGCTGACATAGCATCCACTGCATATCGACTTTGGGACGAACTCACAAAAGGATGCAAGTTACAAATACCGTTGCTGTGTTCATTGTTGGGATGCCCCTTGTTGAAGACTAGCCTTTTGTCAACGCATCTCATTCTGACCTTGAAGAGAGCTTTCATATTCCTTTTCTCTCCTTCTCTCTCTCTTTTTTAAGCTGAAAGCGTGGTAGAAGGTGTTACTCGCCGGACCAATCAACCGTAGACTTTTTATTGCTTGACTCCGCTCTCGGTGCGCGGGTAATGGTAGAAGCGTGATCAGGTGGTTTGACGGATAACGCATTAGCCGTTGCCAATCTCGGAATGCCTGCTTGCGGACCTCGTTCGGCGCCTGGTGCGGCCTGCGGGGCTGCTGCGGATTCCGCTTCTGTGGTAAATGGTATCTCGTTCATAAAGGCCAACCCGTATGTTGGCAACGAGGAATTTCTTCAAAGAAGCCCAGGAGATCCTTGTGATATGTTTAGTGTTTGGTTCGGCAAATGACAGCTCGTGCCACACTCTTTTGAATCTTCATAAAGCGCTTGCATCTCGCTTTTATGTTTGTGTGACTGGTGTGCAGTTGCCTCGTTTATATCGATCTCGGATGACATCTTTGAAGTCGCGAAAATTTTATCGTAAGCACACTCGATCCTACTTCTTGGCGACGGTTAACAGTTTTTGACTGGTGCTCTTGTTCAGATTACCTCTAAAATTAAAACGGAGGTTCGGGCGACTTGGTTGCTCATGATGTACAGGGGAACCGCGAATCGGCAAAGCAGCTACTCAAGTCCAGACACGCAAAATAAAGACGCACTTACGCAGCGCTGAGTAACAACTCTTTGGTATATTTACACTTTCGTCTTCGTCTTCTCTTGGTATTATGGACTAGGGCCGTGAAAATTAATTGTTCTTTTACTTCAAAAGGAAGCTAAACTGTAACCCGAAAACTGAGATTGAAATTAATGCAGGGCTAGATAGTCTAGTTCTTTTTGAGATAAGGCTAAAGACGGAGTAGTAACACATCTATCGCCATGTTTTCCGATATTATCTGCCTCAATGATTTCTCTCGTTAGCTTGTTGTGATGCTTGCCGAGAATGGCGCAGTTGCTCAGCAGCACTGAACAGTCACAGTATCCACAGTGGATTCCTATAGGCTGAACTCCATGGAGCGAATTATGCGACGAATAACTGACGAACGCCGCCCGACGGCACGCTCGCTTTGCGCGCGACGTAGCACCCACTGTGCTGATGCCACGCGCAGAGCGAAAGCCGTCGGGCAAAATTCGTCAATTTTTCGCAGCATATTCGTCCCATGGAGTCCAGCCTTAAGTGTCCGGAGTCTTTGTTGGTGAAATGTTGTTAAATTCACGAAGGCGATCCTTGAGACATTGTCCGGTCTGACCTATGTATAGTTTTCCACAACAGAGGGGAAAAGAGCACACTATCGTCTCTGTACAGGGAACAAAGGTGTTCTTAAGGCCGAACTCCATAAGACGAATATGCTGCGAAAAGTCGACGAATTTTGCCTGACGGCTTTTGCTCTGCGCGTGGAATCAATGCAGTGGCTACTACGTCGCGCGCAAAGCGAGCTAGCCGTCGGGCGACGTTCGTCAGTTATTCGTCGCATAATTCGCTCCATGGAGTTCAGCCTTTATGCTTCTTTTTTGCAGCCGACAGTTGCACTTGGGGGGGGGGGGGGGGGGTATTTAATTTTTTGCACAAGCTGCGAAGTTTGTTAGGAGCTCTCACCCGAGCGCACGGTCCTGCTGTAACACCGCCATTGACCCCGCGACGCCAACCTTCTTCTATTTTGTTTTGGGCACAAGTTCGCCCCATTAAACGTTTAGTTGCCTACATCTATTCAGCCATCTCGGTGGCTCCGAGGCGAGAGCGTCGGCCTACGGATCCCCATGTGGCGGGTTCAAATCCCGGCCGAGGTGCCCGCAATCTGACGGAGGCATATTGCGGAGAAGGCGCCGTATAACCAAGCTTTCGGTTGCACGTCAAAAGATCCTCAGGTGGTCGAAATTAATCCTCAGTCCTCCGCTGGGGCGTGCCAGATGCCCGCCGTTGGTTTGGCACGTAAAACCCCCGAATTTGACTTTTGCCTCCATCTATTCTTCGCTTCATTGATTATCATTCGTGACCAATATGGCACCGTACCATGCCGCCATTTCTCCGTACCACGCTCCTTTGCCCGTCTCTTCTGCGGGATCCATTTCGTACCATCCAATTTGTTATTCTCGGCAATCCTTGCCGAGCAGAAGAAATTCGATGGTGCCCATTGAATGCTGTAAAAGGTACGGGCACAGGAGCATGGCAATGAGAAATGTCGGCTAATGTGACCTCAATGCAATCTACGTATAGACATT